GCCAGCCATGCTGGCTGGGGAATTCTGGGAGTTGAACTCCACTCAAAGTTGCTAAGGTTGAGAAACACTGCTCCAGAGACAACTTTGGCTGAGATTTGAAATTCAGGGAATGAGAGATCTTGGGTGATTGATGAGACTACAATTTCCAGCTACGATTCCTCCATTGAGGAGTCTGAATCTCTGGAAGATGTCCAGTACAGATCCTCAGACTTGGAGCTTAAGGGTCCTCTCTTCTTCTGGCTTGGCTTTCCAATTCTCCCAAGAACTAGAAGGTGTCCTACAAATAGGCTTCTTGGCCTTTACCAACAGAGTCACAAAGTGTACCTCACTAAATTTTTTTCTCCTTCTTCCAAACTCTCAGGTATGTGTTAGAATTGAACAGAAGATGCTAAAAGGTACAAATAGACACGTTTCTATTTCATTAGCCAAATGCTTTCCTGCTGGCAGTTAAATACACCTAGTCACCTAACAGTTATAAAACCCCTTTTTTTCCAAATTGCAGTTGTCCATAGCACATGAGAAAAATGAGTTGTAAAGCATAAGAGAATGCACTTGGAATACAATGAAAAGCTTGGTACCACATTTTCCCGAATCAGCATTCTCCAGATATGTAGGGATTACAACTTAAAGAATCTCCAGGCCAGCTGTTGACCATGGAGCTTGGAGTTTTGGGAGGGGCAGTGGCAGCCATCTGGAGAGTAGAGGATTGGATCAGGTTAATTTAAGGTTTATGAGCTGGAACAATATGAAGTGCCCAGATTTCTCAGAACTTTAGATGAAGGTGATCTTAGGAAAGAAATGGAGCAATGATGCTCTATTTTCACAGGGACTATAATAATGGCCAAAGCAACATATTGATGGAGATAAAAATAGAATGTCCTTGCAGTGAATTTGAATGTAAACCTTTTAGAACATCTTCTGGAGATCTTCAGGGTTCCTGGGAATAATAGGACAAGGGCACCGTGTTTGGCCTGCAGTTCTCATCATCCCTGTCACCAGGGCCTTTGGAGAATGGCTTCAGCAGCAACCCTTTGTGATATCTATTGTTTTGGGAGGTTTTATGGAATATAGTAAGGGTGAACAACATTTTTTCAATCAAGGACCAGCTGCTACAGTAGTAATCTCTTAAGAAGCTCCATCATATATCAGTGGTGGAGCAAATATTTACTGTAGTGCTTTCTATAGGTAATTGTCTACATTTCTCTCATGAAATGAGAGACTACATTCTTTGGCTGTTCAACCTTCTCCTGCTATCTTCACAATAAGAGCGATGGCGATTTTAGAAACTTGCCAACAGAATAGAAAGACAGGTTTCTTTTTAGTAGCATTTTGATAATCTGTTTGCATGGCATCTTAACATCTCTTGCTAGAAGCCTTCGGAAATAATCCTAAATAGATTAGAGAGATGTTTCTTAGTGTAAGCAAAGCTTTTTAGAACATCAAGTTCTCTTGATATTCCATTAACCAAGTAGAAAGTAAGACTGTCTGGACTGAAACAGAAGGGGACACTTTCTTCTTAATTAGCATTATTTTCCTAATTCTAGAAATAAGGACCTCTAAAGCAAAATTACTACCGTGAGAAGGTTGGTTGTGATCTGCAGTAATGATCTATAATGCAGTCGTGACTTAAAAGGAAATAGGATTTGTTTGTTCCTTTTACTTTTAACTCTTTCCATCTCAATATTGAATTTGAAATGTTGGATATATTTGAAATTTATCTGGTCCTCACTCAGGTCGTCTTTCCTTTGAACAACATCCCATCAACAAAGCTTTCTAGATGCACCTTTTGCCCTATTAAGTGGAGGAAACACAATTTTAAGTGGAGGCTGCAGGGGAAAATGTTAATTGTTCTCCTGCTGTTTCTCCACACAGATTGCCTCATCAGTATTTCACAAGGCAAAAGAGGGAGCAAGTCCTAATTCCAGACTCATATTTACTGCTTGTATTTATTTATCATTGTATGTATTGTTTTCAAGTCAAGACTGTAACAGATACAAGAAGATCTGTTTTTAAGATGAATTCCCTTCGCACCCAGAAGGGGTGATACAAAACACTTTCCTTTAATGACTGCATTTTTAGTATATCTAAAAGGATTCTTCCCATTTTAAAGGTGAATTATTTGGAATAGCCTACATTTCAGCTGAAGTACTTTTGTATTGCCCAGTAATAGGAGTACTCTGGGCAGTGTACAATCAGTTAAAACATATTGTAAAAAAAATAAATCAGCATAAAAGCCCACTTAGAGGAGAGCACAATAGATGAAGTAGGTAACAGGGCAGAATTGCAGTGCCGTGGAGATGCTACTCCAAATGCTACTCTGTACTTCAAAACACCAATGTGAGTCTTAACATGCCAAGGAAAAGGGATAGGTCATCACTTGGTGTTTTCACATTGTGTTTGGAGGAACCCAGGAGTTCTTAGAAAACTTAGCAAATGCTTGAAAACTTTGGAAATGCTTCTCAGTTGGGAGAAAGAATTTCCAAGGAAGAACTTTGGAAAAAGGCCCATCTTGTTCCTTCCCATCTTCTCTTGTCTGGGCAAGACCAAGAAGGTGAATGCCATCCTTGCAGGATATGTAGGACAGGCTACATGTTATTTCCACCTCCCATTTCCAGCCCCAAAGGCCTCCTCCAGAGTTTGGGGTTTTTTTTCCAAATATTCACACCTTTTTAAAATTTGCATTTTTGTATAGATTGGGAGGGAGGCTTTGGGAACCTTGCAGAGGTCTGAGCCAAACATTAAATGTTGAAATCTCCCCCCAAATGAGAACCATGTTTCTAAAGGGGGGGTGGGGGGCCTAAGCAGCAAAATCAACACCATAAGTCTTTCCAGAAAAGCATAGAAAATGGCCTTGCCTTTGTCCCTTGCAGCCCCCTGAGAAAATACAAGTGCAGCCCCAAAGCTGAAAAAGATTGTCCCTCTCCCCAAATAACAAATGAATAGGGAACAAACAACCTTGTACATCACCAGTTCCCTGCTGGTTGTTTTTGACCAGGGCAGCAAACTGTAAGCCTCCCTCTCAAAATTGGGCAGGAACAGGACAACAACGAAACACAAATAAGTTGAGACTTAAATGGCATTACAATTTTATTACATTGTTTAATTTCAGTGAACATTTTTATACATGCAAGATGCAATAAGGTCACCACGTCCCACTCTGACTTTAGGATGGGATGTGTCTGGAGTTGGGGCACTCTGACTGCAATGTGTTTTGCATCACTCTAGTTTTACACAACTCCCATATCTTTAAACATCTTCCCCTTTTATCCTGCTAAAACATATAATTCAACTGCAATTTTTGGTTGGCTTTTTTTGGGGGGGGGCAGGAATTTATTCACTATTGGTGTGGACATTGTCATGTGCCAATGCTGATTACATCTGCCCAGCATGGCTAATAATCAGGATCCTGTATTCCAGGCAGATGGTTCCTTAGGGAAGGCTCGTGTTCTGCAGGGACTGAAATTCTGGGGAGGAGCATCTCCAGAGCTGGTGGGGGTAGAGGGTGGGATAGGGAGGTCCTCAGCAAATAAATCAAGAGTTCCTGAAAATCCAGTAGAGGAGAATACTGATGAGGATGATGATACCTAGATCTTCAACCAAGCAACGAAACTCAGAGAGCACCAGGAACTCCACAGTTCCTGAAAATTTGCATTGTATACATTTGAGACTAGTCTGGCTGCTTGATGTTATACTACAGTATAACTTTATAATGATGTTATTGAATCAGTAGTATTTATTTTTATTTTTACTGATAAGTTTAATTTGATTAATTTTGATTTATTGCAAAGGTACGATATGCATTCAGTGTCACGCTAGTAAGCTGCTTAACTGAAGAGACCTAGAGGCATTTGTAATAAATACATTTTCTAATAGCCACTTAGTAGAAAGCCAGAAATGATTTGCTGATATAAAAGTCAGTGCTTTTATGCCACTTCAGTTGCCTGACAAGCCATGACTTAAAAGCAAGAATACAAGAAGCCACCAAGTATCCAAAAATGATCAGTAATAATCTAATTTACAGTACTGTAAAATGCAATGGAGGGTAGTTCTCTTCAATTTCTCAGGATTGCCCTGAACTTCCCTTCCTGAAATGATGTCTACCCTTCTTCTTTTTCTTTCAACAGGACATGGCAATCATAAAGAAAGTAGTCCCTTTCTCAACAGCTCGGATCCAGGCAAAGGAGATTACTATGACCGAAATTTGGCCTTATTTGAGGTAATAGAGCTTGAAATTTCATTTCCAGAATGCTCAATTTGGCCCTTGTCCAACAAGAAGAGTATTGAAAGACATCAAAGAGGTCCTGGTTCACTTTCAACCATGAATGACAAAGATCCTTGACTGTTGTTGTTTTTTAATTTCTTCAAAAAAACGTTGACTCAATACAAGGAACCCATTGCAGACCTAAGTGTACCAATTTGATGGTAATCCCTCCAAGACAGGCTAGAAAAATTTCAAAGTATACAATGTCATTTTAAAGGGGTGTAGTGTTACCTGTGAATTAGTTTTAAGGTTGCATCTGTAGGTAATTTGAAGAAGAAGGTAGACTATATCTCAGCTCTACGCTTTCTTTGTCTTGTTTTTGACTCTAGTACAGTATTTCTCAACCTTGGTAACTTGAAGATGGGTGGACTTCAGCTCCCCGAATTTCAATTCTGGGAGTTGAAATACACCCATCTTCAAGTTGCCAAGGTTGAGGAACACTGCTGTAGGGTTTCACTTGGAACTTTGGGTCGCATCATAGAAGAGAATCAGTGACCTGGGTATGAGCCCAGAAAAGAGAATAGGGCTATCCATGGGATGAGATGAGCATGTCTTATAATAACTCCTGGGAAGATGGCTGCTCACAGGTTTGGGATTCTACTCTTGATGTTATCTTGGCAGTGCAGTTCTAGCTGGCTGAGAGAGAGGGGACTAGCTTAATATGGAAGAACAGGAAGCTCCTTTTTTGTGGAAGCTGCTGTATTGGACAGGATCCATGACTCTATGGCAGGACCTTCCTTTTGTATTCAAGAAAGGCACAAGAACAGTGTTCATTTAGAAGAGAATCAGGAGTAGCCTCCAGTCAGAGCAGAGTCTACTGACTTAAATGGACCAAATGATCTAAATTGGGGGTGGGCAGGCGATGTGCTTTCCATCTTCTGAGAGGAAGTCTTCCTGAAGCAATAGAACTTACTGTTGAATAGATATAGATGGGATTGTCCTGCAAATGGATGGAGAGATTAAACTCTGCAACCCTAATTAGCATAGTTGCATTTAAGAAGGCAACTGCATAGCAAATCATGTGATGCCTTATAAGTTTCAGTGGAATTATTGAAATGGATGTAATTTTCTTTGTTTGCATTTTTGTTGATCTATGACTGAAATAAAGATTTATTGGTATTATTGTTGTTACGTTGCCCCAGAGATAGATTAGTTTATTGTCCATTGCTTTTGTGACGAACAGCAGATTTGATCTAATTGATGCAGTCACGTGTTGGATGGCCTTCTCCTTCCTCTGATATGGAGAGCTGCATTTAAAAAAAATCTAATTATTATAAGGATGTTTTCGGCAGTATGTTACCAAAATGTTTTCTATTATGTGTTTTATTTTAGAGATTTTAATGTACAGATGTGCAGCCATTTGGGGGGGAAAGAATCACACTTGAACTTTGAGTTCCATGCTGAGTACTGTACAGACAAGGATTAAAAGTAAACTGTTAGTTGATATGAAAGGCATTTACAGAAAGAAAGAAAAAAGGGCCTAGGATGAACGCTTCCAGTCACTTTTCTGGCTAGCAGCCAGGAAGCTGGAAAATGGCCAAAGTTCGGTGTAATTCTCTCTCTCTCTAGAATTGTATCACTATACCATCTCAGGGCATTGTTAAAAATGAGATGTTAGGCAGCCTGGCTTCTCCGTGGGTTGCAGCGAGGTGCTCCATTTTGTGCAACTGGTTTCCATAGAGATGGCTATAGAGACCTGCTGCCGTTACCCCAGCAAGCCTGCTCGGTTGGTTAACCTCTTCAGAAGTTGGCTTGGTTGCAACCAGGAATGTTCCCCTTGCTCTGGGAGGTCAAGCCCCCTCATCCTTTGGTTTTGTTTCTGCCCGATTTGTCGGAAATGCCAAGAAAGGGTGGTGAAATTGAGCAATAGGGGGTAGCTTGCTTTCAGGCCTCCCTTGAGAGAGCATCCTGCCAAGATCTTCCTTTGATGAAATGTCTCTTTATCTCCACCAGGTTGCTGCTCTCTGCTTCCTCCTTGACCAGTTGGAGGGCTGGGAGGATTCTCTTTCCAGAACAGCCTCTAATCCAGTGTTTCTCATCCTTAGCAACTTTAAGACGCGTGGACTTCAACTCCCAGAATTCCCCAGCCAGCCATGCTGGCTGGGGAATTCTGGGAGTTGAAGTCCACGCGTCTTAAAGTTGCCAAGATTGAGAAACACTGCTCTAATCAGACATGGAGGAGGGATGAAAAGGGAAAGATTTCACAACAGATGGAACCAAATGCAGACGACACAAGGTGGAAGTCAGAAAGATTAAATTTTAATCTTTAAATTTTAAACCACAGTTGGGACCTGTGGGTCGCATGTGGTCTCCTGGTCCTTTTTGTTTTCGCTTGGTCTTCTTTTTTAAAAAGCTACCCAATAAAAAGCATTAAGCTTCAAATTGACTCGATGCGTTTGTTTTCCTTTTTTTTTTTTTTTGGGAAATGTCCCCTCATCCTCCTAAAATTTTTTAAAAAAAGCAGAGGAGGACTGGACCAGCCCCTCTGTTGATCCTACTGCCGCAAGAGCGGAAGTCCCTGTGAGCTGAGAAAATTATAAAGTGCAGCCTAGGTTTGGGAAAATGTGGTCCTACTCTTGTGTTCCATTTAGCAAAATTAAATGGAGGCCTCCCACTTATCTGTTTTCAATCCTGTATATTTTACAGCGGCTGCAAATGGAAAACTCAAAACGCTGAAAGGATCTCAGGTTGCTTAGCCTTAGAAAGAGAGCCAATTTGGTGTAGTGGTGAAAGGTACCAGGCTAGAAACCGGGCGACTGTGAGTTGCAGTCCTGTGCTAGACGCAGAGCCAGCTGGGTGACTTTGGCTGGTCCCTCTCTGTCAGCCCTAGGAAGAAGAAGGCAAGGGCAAACCCCTTCTGAAACTCTTGCCAAGAAAACTGCAGGGACTTGTCTAGGCAGCCCTCAGGAGTCTGTGCCTGTAATGACTAGGAATTATAGGAGTTGAAAGCTAATGCATCTGGAGGGCACATAGCGAAGAGCACTACTCAAAATATCCACGGAGGGAATTTTATTTATTTATTTACGGCCAAGGGTTGACATCTGCCAATGATAAGTTTGTTAGAACCTTGAAATAGTGAAAACACAAAAGCACCAGCAGTTCTCAAAAAACAATTCACCAAAAAGCAACAGCCCACAACATTTTAGATTGTCCTTTTGGTTGTTGAATTCCAAAGGAGCAGCTCCATCTGTTTGTTTTGGCACCTGGGCAGTCTTGATTCGGCTTTGAAGTTAAACAGAGTTGGGCCTGGTTAGTATTTGGATGAGAGAGACCAGGAAATCTCAGAGCTGGAGGCTAGATTAAGATATGGAATAAGAAAGACTTGTAGAAGAGGGCAGCAGAAACTCTTTCTAGTCAAGACTACACGGATGTGTTCGTGAAGTCACCAGGAGGGTACCTCATCTTAATTTATGTCTTAGCCCTCTTGCATGAATCCAACTTAAAGATGCTAATTGTTGTATGAAAACCACACAAGAGAAGTCATTTGAGTGAGATCCTTCAGCAATATTTGCTTACCAAAAATGCTGTCAGTTTTCTAACTTAGCAGAGAGGTCAGGCAGGCATCCTCATGGTGTTGATTGGATGCAGAATAAATGTCTTCCACAGACCAGGGGTGAAGAAGGGAATATACTTGTTAGCAGGGTTTCCCATGAGAATGGAAGCATTATAGTGGCCCGCTGGTTGTATTTTGATATAATGCAGGTGAAACAATCGAAGCTTTCCAGGACATGAATGCTCAAATTTTACTGTACCTGTTGACCAATGTAATCTTGCCTATTTCCCTTTGTAGGAAGAACTGGATATTCGTCCGAAGGTGTCTTCTTTATTGGGCAAATTGGTCAGCTACACAAATCTCACTCAGGGAGCCAAGGAACACGAAGAAGCGGAAAATGCTGAAGGCTCAAGAAGTAAAGTTTCAAAAGTAAGTAGCTTTCTTCAGTTTGTGTTTTTTTTTTAATTTTCATGTGAACATGGAGCATCTGGAATATGAAGCCCACCCGTGGGATCCAAACATCAGCTTTCAAACAGTAAACAAATTCAAATTCTATCCATTCTGCAGATGATCTAGAATTGGAAGATGGAGGACATGATTGAATTATTCCTTCTGTGTGTGATATATGATGCAAAAAGGCAAGAGTACAAGACGTGTCAGAGTTAAAATAACGTGCAACCTAGACTAGAGAAGTGCATCTTCTATTGTGCACACCCTAACCCATGGATGGACAATGTCTTGCAGTTGGGGAGTGGCAAGTGACTTCATGATGTTAGATGAATGAGTGGGACCAAAAATGGCAAATTGGGAGAGTGGGTGGGGTTAAGAGGAAAAATGGATTCAGAGCCTTAAGCTCCTGTTTTGCCCTTCAGCCCCTCAAAAAGTGCGCTTTAAAATATGCCCGTGCTCTGCAGAGGCTGCAGAACAGATCCTGAGGATTGACCTGCCATCACAGACCATGAATTTTTACAACGTTCTGCTTGATACTGTGTGGCTTTCCAGAGCTGATGAGGAGAGTACAGGCAAGGTGAAATCCACATGAGCAGCTGGCACCTATTAAAAGCGCGATTTGTTTTGAGATGGACATGATTCATGTAATCTCTGGGAGTCAACACTCAGTTCAAGGCATGCTTCATTATCTGTATCTTGGAAGAATAATCTTTTTACTGTTTATCCCTAGAAAACTCAGTACATTTTAATTGCCAAGCAAAGGTGATTGATCTTGTTGTAGATAATGGAAGTTTTAGTCAATTTTGACCCCTGGGTCAAATTGGAGCCTGTGACAGATTAACTGTGACAGATTCTCCACATTAACACAGGCTGGTGTTATGACGGTTGGTAACTGTTGAACAAGAAGTCATTTCGTACTGAGAAATCAAAACACTGAAGTTGCTACCACATTTTAATAATTTTACATTTTAAAAGAAAGATGCCCCTTTCATCCCCTCTGGGTGAATGTGTATGTTTGCTTTGTTCAGAAATTCTCTTCGTTAATCCTTCTGTTCTGTTGGGTGAGGAATTTGCCGTCCTCCAGATCGTGTGGAACTACAAGTCCCAGCAGATCATACTACCGTGAGAGATTCCTGCAGCTGTAACTTGTAGTTCAGTAACATCTGGAGGTTCACAATTGCCCATTCTTCCCACAATCATTTCAATATATCAGAGGATGTGAGGAGCATATCTGGACCTTGTACCATGTTAGATAGGTGCAGATATATTTCCTTAACAACAAGAATTCTGCTTCTGAGTGCATTGGACTAAGTGTGGGTATTCTTTTTACCTTTACGAGTATAATTCTATGTGTTGTTTGAGAATGTGCAAAGTGAAAGCAATAAGGGAAGGGTTATCTGACATAAAAAATGCTATTGAGGTAAGAAAATGTCAGCGCATGAAGAAGGAAGAATTTCTGATCTACTCATCTTTCCCAACTTTGTGCTGTGATGCTCCCTAAGCCACGGAGTCCTCCATGTAAGGTTTGTAAAGCCAGCTCTGGAATGTATGGGTGGTTACCTCTTTTCCTGAAAGAACAAAATATTAGGAGTCCTTGTTTTGTGCGCCTGAGGATTAAACTTTGCAGTGCCCAGCCAGCCATTTAGATGAGCAAAAAGACAGTGATTGATTAACCCCATGAATTGTAACCAATCCCTTGGTTAAATCTTTAACCAAGCACTTTCAAGTGGCTTTTGGAAGAAAAGGACAAGGTTTGGTTTTAGATAATTAATTTTTGTCACAGGAGATGACAGCTTGGAAAAGAGGCATGCCTTGACAGAGAGCATTAGCTCTTGTCCCATGGTCTTTAACTGCTATGTCATGCTACTGTACTGAGGTAACCTCTTCTCTTTTTCAGTCTCCCAGCATGGGGACCCTGATGGGCGTCTATCTGCCATGCATGCAGAATATCTTTGGGGTCATCCTCTTCCTTCGGCTGACATGGATAGTGGGGACAGCAGGTGTTCTCCAGGCCTTCCTTATTGTCTTAATCTGCTGCTGTTGTGTGAGTACATGGCCTAGGGACAAAAACCCATTAGATGTCTCCTACTTTCCTTTCTTCCACCCATGCCATGCCTTTTTATCCAGAATCTTCCTTACTTGCATATCTCAATGCCCAAATTCATGGCTGGATGAAGATTCCGGCTGTGTGGATTTCCCCCCTATATTTTCCTTTATCATTCATTCATTCGTTCGTTCGTTCGTTTGTTTGTTTGTCTACTTATTTTTACTAGAATCCTCAAGGCTTGCCAGTTGCAAACTAGCACTCCACAGATTGGTTGGGTAAACATGTACTTAGAATTAAGGAATTCTTATTTTAGTACCAAAGTTGAATGTCACGTTCCATTGCACACTCTTCTAGTTTTGTGCTTTTTCCATTCCATTAAAGTAGCCCAGTTTGATGGGGTTGGGGGAAACTTGGCAGGTCTGTTGACCCCTAAAATTGCTAGAGTTCCCTGTAATATTGAGCAACCTGGGTTCCATTTTCATGTGTGAACTTACTTCCTTGCCAGATTTGGTGTATTTCAGTTTGCTGATTCCTATAGTCATGTTTCTTTAAACTTTGTTGTCATTCACAGACCATGCTGACGGCCATATCAATGAGTGCAATTGCAACCAATGGTGTTGTTCCAGGTACTCTGTGATTTATTTGGTATGGATGTAATTCTGAAGCTCTTGGGTCCCTGTGTGAAAGAAATGTCTGATTGATTGATTGATTGATTGATTGATTGATTGATTGATTGATTGATTTGCCATCAAGTTTTTGTTGACTCTTAGTGACTACATAGATAGATTTTCTCCAGAACAATCTGTCCCCAGCCTGGTCCTTCAGGTCTTCCAGCAGATATTCCTATCACTGCTCTGAGTTCTTCCATCCTGTTTTTGGTCTTCCTCTTCTTCCCTTTCCTTCCACCTTTCCCAGCATTATAGAAAGCAAGTTTTCAGAGATAATCTGCTGTAGTAGCCCATCAACATCCTGACATTCAGTTTTCCGGAAAACTTTCTGCTCCTCTGCACTGTGAAAGCCTCCTTTACAAAAGAGGGTACCTTGATTTAGATTTTGCTTTTTCAAAGATCCTCATCTTGGACACTTGTTAAATTTACTTGATTAAAAAAAAATATTTCACATTTGTTTGTTTGTTTGTTTGTTTGTTTGTTTGTATGGTAGCTGGTGGTTCATACTTCATGATTTCAAGATCACTGGGTCCTGAATTTGGTGGTGCTGTGGGACTGTGTTTCTACTTAGGAACAACTTTTGCAGGTGCTATGTACATCCTGGGTGCCATTGAGATCCTACTAGTAAGTAGCAACAGACATATTTCCAGAGAAGTCACAATGTATTAGAATTACTGATGAACATGTAGAGAGATTAGTTAGGAGTATTCCAGTATTGCTTCTGGTAATTGAAGCACATTATTTTCTTAGAACTTCAAAAATGTATCTGGTCTTACATGCTGCTCTTGGAAATATTCCCAAAGCAGGGGTAGACAACTGATGATTCTTCACTTCTTGTTAGATTCCATCTCCCATCATATTTTACTCATGGCCATGCTGGATGGCACTGACTGGAATTGATGTGGAAAAGCATCTGGAGGAGAAAACTGTTGCTTGTCCTCCTCTGTTTTATGAGAATCACACATTAAAATGTTGGGATTGAGCTGAATGGAATAACATTTCTTGGTGTTTCTGCATGAGATAGACCTGGTGCCAATCATTTTAAAGGCAAAATGTCTTAGGTTTTTGTTGTGCGGACCTGAGACCAGGGAGGAGAAGTAGGAAACTGATTCTGGCTTCTGGCTTTGACCGTGGGATTTAGTGGTAGCAAAAGGATATATTTATAAATCTTACATAGAAATCCATGACTGGGAGGGAAAGAGTCATCCTCCACCACTGAAGAATCTCTTGCTATAATTTCCTCCCTATTTTCTTTTATATCATATCTACTAGATTTTGACATAATAAATGTTACAATATTATAACATTTATAATAAATGTTATAATAAATACTAAATGTCCCTCTGGAACATTCTCCCCTCAGAGATTAGGATGACCCTGACCTTTTGGCCTTTCATAAGGCCCTAAAGATCTGGTTATATGTGTGGGCCTAGGGCCCCGTGTGTGTTAAGGGTCCCGTTTCTTGGCCATTTTTATAATTATAGGATATTTGTTCTCAGCTGCCATATATATGTATTTTGTGTTGTACTGTACTTGTTTTAATTGTTTTTATGATTGTTCTCTGCCCAGAGTCACTTGGTTGGGTTGGGCGGCTATAGAAATTAAAATAAATGAATAAATGAATAAGCTGTAGCTTCTTATCTCTCAATGTCTCACACTTAGTAAAGTGTAGGCACATTGTAAGTGGTGATGATGATAATGATGATGATGATGATATCATGCCATGTGTGATATGTGTGTTTATTGAGAACTAAGACCCTCTGAGCTCAATGGGACATAATCCCAGTTCAGTTAGCATGGGTTTACAGTCCATGTTTAAGAAATAAACGTGAAATTCTATGGGATCCTTTCTCCCTAGTAGGATCTGTTGACTATGTAAAGGCATCTCAGTTGCCAGCCTTCCCTTAACCAGTAGCTTTTCAGATATGTTAGGATGACCATTCCCAGAATTCCCAGGTCCAGCAGGTTCAGAAGTCTTGGTTGAAATTCTGGGAGTTGTGTATCTCTTGAATTCCCAATGTGTGTCTTGGACAGCTTGTTTTTGTTGCCAACACTAAAGTCATGCTCTTACTCTTTCAGATATATATTGCTCCCCAGGCTGCCATTTTCCATCCAACTGGGGCCCATGATACTTCCAGTGCCACGCTGAATAACATGCGAGTCTATGGGACCTTATTTCTGACCTTCATGGCTCTTGTAGTTTTTGTAGGTGTAAAATATGTTAACAAGTTTGCTTCTCTCTTTTTGGCTTGTGTCGTCATTTCCATCTTATCCATCTATGCTGGGTCGATTAAATCCATCTTCAGTCCACCTTTTTTTCCGTAAGTAGACGTGCTTGGGAATGCCAGCTTATAATTCCAGTTGGATGTTAACTCTCATGGTAGAAGCTCCTCACGGTAGACCTATCAGTGGAATTCTAATCCCTTCGGGGTTATTTGATGGCTTTGCTTTTGTCGTCAGTGACACTGAGTTTTATTTTAGAAAACTGAGAAGTCACTGGACTCCTTGTTTCTTTGTTTTTCCTGCAGTAAATTAATATAGCAAGCCCTCTGGAATTCTTTCCAGAAGACAACCTTGTGAGTTTATTGAAGTAAAAACAACAAAGACTCTGAATCTTGAAAGTTACCAGATGATTAAGGCATCTGCTTAGAATCTGTTTCTCAGGGCAAAATGTACAAGCAGTAAAGTTCAAAAGGAACCTTTTATTATTTATGTATTTATATTTATTTATACAACACTATAAATACCACAGTACCCAGATAAGGTAACATACTACTTGTGATTTATAATAATACAATAATACAATATTAAAACGAAAAACCAAAAAGGAAGGACATATAAAGGGGGCAACATATGCCTTTGTTTCCCTTTGGCTTGATTGCTTAAGTTCTCACAAACACAAGTGTGCCATTGTGTGTTTGTGATTCTGTTAAAAAGTGCAAAAGATAGCCCATGGAATGTTTTCCCTTTGTATTTTCCCCTCTATGATTGTGCCTAAATATATGTTGTTGTATTTATATCTCTAGCCTGTAACTTTTGGAGGGGTTGGGATAGAAAACTTTTGAACTCATAATCCAGGATTAGAACCTTAATTTAAAAGAATGCAACTTATAAAGAAAGGGTGGGAAGAATTTTTTCCTCCCTCATTGCTAATATTAGAACTTGGGATCAGGCTCTGAAAAGTGATGGTGATAAATTTAGCACGGCTAAGAGAAAGGTTTCTCATCATATACCATCAAATGTTGCTGTTCTCACACTCAGCTGTTATGTGCCTGGTTACTTACTTTGGGAACCCGGATGCTGGATTTTGTCTTATCCCTGCTGCCTTTGTGGTGTTTATCAAAAGGAGGCCTAGTAATATTAGAAATAAAGACATATCCTTCCCTTTTTCTTTTAAATGAACCATTTTCGGCACCTTTTTGAGAAAAGTAAGGGTAGTGTGGGGGGGGGGGTTGTTTCTTTGAATAGAAATACGCAAATCTCAGCACGTGGTGAAAATGTTGATGTCCTTTCTCCCTAGGGTGTGCATGCTAGGCAACAGGACTCTTTCAAGGGACCAATTTGACATTTGTGCCAAAACGGTGGTGGTCAACAACGTTACGGTCCCCACCAATCTCACCGAGCTCTTTTGCCCAGGTTACAACATAACCTCTGGACTCTGTGATGATTATTTTCATTTCAATAACGTGACAGAGATTGTTGGTATACCAGGAGCTGCAAGCAGAATTTTGAAAGGTACTCTTAACACCATGGCATCACTTTGGGATTAGGAAATAAGAACATTGATCAACACAGGGTTTCCGTCTCATCAATTCCATGTGCAGTCTTGGCATCTCCATGGAGTACGGGGAAAAATAGTGTCTGAACCCCTGGAGAGCTCCTGCCAGTCAGTGTATGCTCTATTGAAGTAGATAAGGCAGGGGATGGAGTTGGTCTGTTTTCCTATTTAAATCAATCTGTTAGATAGAACCATGAGTATTCTCTTTATCTTTTAAGGAAAGAGGCTATTATTCAGGGACAGAATGCGATTTGCAGGCTGAAGGTCCCACATCCCATATCTGGCATCTCCCTCTAGGGCTAGGAAAATCCCCATTCTGAAACCTTGCACAATAATTGTCAGTCAGTTAAGGGGTGGGCCACCTCATGCTTTTTAGATGCTTTGGATTCCAACTCTCATAGTCCCTGGTCATTGGCCTTGTTGGTCAAAAACAATGTGAGGGCCCAAAGTTGTCCTCTTATAGTCCGAACGGTACAGAGCTTCTTGATCTACATTTAAAGATAATGGAGACCTTGTGCACTGTGCCTTGTATAATACAAGAGGATAGGGTCCTATTCCAAGGAGTTTATAGTCTTAGATAAACCCAGTGAAGGTGGGGGGAGGGAAGGAGGAGGAGGAAGAGGAGATGATGATGATGATGATGATGATGATGATGATGATGATGATGATGATGGCGGCTATATCTGTGGCTTTGTGCAACATTGATGAAATGTGGGAATACCAAAATGTCATGGATTCTTGCAAAAAAGAAAATACAGTGGCTGTGACTGTACAGTTGAAGCTCATCCCTTTTATGTAGGTCATCAGGGGTGGAACTTCATGTTGTCGTGGCTGCCGTCTTGACTGTCTTGTCTCCCCCTGCAGATGCCCTGCTTGTTGTCCAGTTGTTCATGGTTTTTAAGTATAGAATCTACCACAGCGGTTAGCATAATCATTCTGTTTGGTAAAGAATGTCCTTATTCCTGAACAACCGAAGAGGCCAACCTCTCTTGGCTATGTTCAGTCACTGTACAGAAACTATGCTTAGTGCTTAGTAAATGTTGCAAGCCATTTTTTCGTTTATTCTACATTCCTGATGATTCTTGCTTCCACCTTCCCAGATAACGTCTGGAGTAATTACTTGGAGAAAGGAGAGATCCTGGAGAGAGCGGGCTGTCCTTCTGTTGACGTAGCTGGAAATAAGAACAACCTCCACTTGTATGTTTATGCGGACATAGCAACTTCCTTCACTGTACTTGTTGGCATCTTTTTCCCTTCTGTGACCGGTGAGAAGATACAAAGGCTGAAGTCTCTGGGCATATTTTGCTGTATTGGGTTTTGGGGAAGTATTAATCCTATCTGCATTTTTGTTCTCCTTTTAAGGCATCATGGCTGGCTCCAACAGATCAGGAGACCTCAGAGATGCCCAAAAGTCTATTCCAGTGGGAACCATCCTTGCTATTGCCACCACATCTCTTGTCTGTATCCTT